AGATCGCGCCATTGCACTCCAGCCTGGGTAACCAGAGCGAGACTCCGCCTAAAAAAAAAAAAAAAAAAAGTCTTCACTTTCTGAGCTTAGTAGATTGTTCATTAATCAGCCAATGGGCAAGTGATTTTTTTTTAGGGCTTCTGTAATTTACTTGTCATTTGTTACATACATACATATATAAGCAAATCAGCCATGACAAGTACATAAGAATATTTCCTAGAGTGTAATTTTTCTTTTTTTACAGGTTATTTTGTCTACAAATATTGCTGAAACAAGCATTACCATAAATGATGTTGTCTATGTCATTGACTCCTGCAAGTAAGTTACCAAGAAATCTATTTGCCTGTTCCAGTGTTATCAACTGGAAACGTCTTACCTGTTAACAGAATCGAAAACACCTTATGTAAACTCCTGTGTTCTTGTATCTCCAGAATTATTATGCCTCTATATAGGGTTATAGATAATTGATAATTATGAGTAATTATTTGTGTTGATTACTGCAAATCAGTTATGGTAGAAAGCAACAAAGCTCGAAACTAACTGATTGCTTCTCATTGCTCTTGTCTGTCTGCTGGTGTTTCGCTCATTTCCTATTGGGTGTTTGCATTGATCACTGCATTGGGGAAGCATGTGTTTGGTGAATAATGATAACCAGTGTTGAGCACATGACAAATATCCCACCTTGAAGGACACTCCTTTAAGGATTAAAATTCTCATTTTGGTATGAGATGAACTTGGAAAATATACCAGGAGACATTACATATAGATACAGGAATTACGTGGTAATTTGATACTTTGGACAAAAAAAGGACAAAAAAGTTGAAACTTCGTTATATTTGGCCAACTTGTGCTCCATGTCTTCTCCATATAAACCTTTAGCCTGTCCTGACAATTAAAACAATTTGCTGCCAACGTCCATTTTAGGAAATGATGAATAGCATTCTGTGCCAATCTCAGTAGTTCAGTGACTGCAGTCTCTTTATGTAATATTGAAGGAATCTGAGGTTGCTTGGGGGTTCAGAAGGACCACACAGGCATCACTAAATATAGATATCCTAAAAGTTACACTTAACTTTGAAATAGAGATGGCCTGAATAATTACCTCTTTCGTTATGTGCCATATTCCATTGAAATGCTTTGCACTTGTTAATGTTTACCAAATACAAATTCTATAAGGTAGGTAATGGTATGCTCATTATCAGATGAGGCATGGAAAGTTGAGCCAAGGCAGTTCAGCTGGTAAGTGGCATGTGGATGTTACATTGCCTTTTAGTAGGTTAGAAGTGTGCAAATTGCTGATTCTTACTTGTGCCATTCATGAATAGGTATCACAAGTATATATGGCTTTCACTACATACTGGAAAGCATTCGCTGTTTAGTGGATATATAATAGTTATTGGTGATACATATGAGTCTTAGCGTTGACCACTTTTTCTCATGTAGGCAGAAAGTGAAACTCTTCACTGCTCACAACAATATGACCAACTATGCTACAGTATGGGCATCAAAAACAAACCTTGAGCAGCGGAAAGGGCGAGCTGGCCGAGTACGGCCTGGATTCTGCTTTCACCTCTGCAGCCGAGCTCGTTTTGAGAGGTAAAACCAATTCTTGGCATTTAGTAAGGAATTTTTGTTCTGTTCTCTTAGGGAGACCTGCCAGTTTAAGCTGGCTGATGTAAATCTTCCCAGTCATGTTGGGATCAGGTATATATGTTCCTTAAAAATCTTCATTTATAGAGAATAAGCCTGAATTAGAAATAGAGAGACCTAGATTTTAATATTACTTGTGCCTGATACATTGCATAACACTAAGTAGTTACTCCTTAGGCCTGCATTTCCCCCATTCTATAAAATGTTAGATTACTTAGACTCTTATTACCTCAGATGTAAAAGGAATATGGTAAATAATGCCTAACCCATATGATTGGTATGAAAGAATTAAATGAGTTAGTAGTGTAGAATACTTTGAACATTGGGACATCATGATCTCCCAATAAACATTTCCTATTGTTAATTTATACAGGTCATGTCTGTTTTCTGAAATGCTTGGGACCAGAAGTGGTTTTAAGATTTTTGATTGTTTTTTTAATACTTGCATTGAATTTACCAGTTGGGCATTCCAAATCTGAAAATAGGAAATCCAAAATGCCTTAATGAGCATTTAAGTGTCATGTCAGCACTGAAAAAGTTTTAGATTTAGTTAGATCATAAGAGCCTTTCTAGCAGCACTAAAATTCAGCTAGGAAGATGGGGAGGTTGTAGAGAAACGTTAGTATGAGTTATCCTGCCAAAAGCCTTGCTGTTGTTTTTTAACCCATGTTTGTCAACAGGCAAGGCCTGTAGAGACCATGGGTAGGGCTAATAACATTAGAGATTTTGTATAATTTTTTCATTTTTCTTCATTTCTCAGCTGAAAAGGCCATCGGTCTATGATTACAAGTCAGAAACCATTATGCAACCAGGTTAAATTTTGTCAACAGTGTGTATAGTGAATGATAAAAGGTTCAGTGGTAATTGTAAAATAAAAGAATGAGGAAAGGGCAGCTCTATATCCCTGGTGACCTTGCTACAAAGAGTTTATTAAACTAACATCTGGATGGTTATTAACATGCTTATTTTCTCTTAGGCTTGAAACCCACATGACACCAGAGATGTTCCGCACACCATTACATGAAATTGCTCTTAGCATAAAACTTCTGCGTCTAGGAGGAATTGGCCAGTTTCTGGCCAAAGCAATTGAACCTCCCCCTTTGGATGCTGTCATCGAAGCAGAACATACTCTTAGAGGTATTTAGAAATACAAACCTACTTAATACAAATATTAATGATATTATCTGTCTTGTCCTGGCAGGCAACACTTAACAAATGAATCAAGGGCCGGGCGCGGTGGCTCAAGCCTGTAATCCCAGCACTTTGGGAGGCCGAGGCGGGTGGATCACGAGGTCAAGAGATCGAGACCATCCTGGTCAACATGGTGAAACCCCGTCTCTACTAAAAATACAAAAAATTAGCTGGGCATGGTGGCACGTGCCTGTAATCCCAGCTACTCAGGAGGCTGAGGCAGGAGAATTGCCTGAACCCAGGAGGCGGAGGTTGCGGTGAGCCGAGATCGCGCCATTGCACTCCAACCTGGGTAACGAGAGCGAAACTCCGTCTCAAAAAAAAAAAAAAAGAAAAAGAAATGAATCAAGATTAATATGTAGTGTAGTCAGCAAGGCTATGATAATAATTGTAAGGCTTCCAGTCTTACCTTAGGTTTTTAGTGTAGTCGCTATTCTAATGAGCAATGAGGTTGGGGAGAAAGGGACAATGTGTGTCTTACTTAAAAAAATTTTTTTTAAGGGATGATATCTCTTAACTACGTACTAAAGATCAGAACGTGACTTGAACTCATGATACCCACTTTTTTTTTTTTTTTTTTGGCGATAGAGTCTGTCACTGAGGCTGGAGTGCTGTGGCTCAATCTCAGCTCACTGCAGCCTCCGCCTCCCAGATTCAGGTGATTCTCCTGCTTTAGTCTCCCAAATAGCTGGGATCACAGGCGTATGCCACCACGTCCAGCTAATTTTTTGTATTTTTAGTAGGGGTGGGGTTTCACCATGTTGGCCAGGCTGGTCTGAAACTCCCAACCTCAAGGGATCCACCCACCTCAGCCTCCCAAAGTGCTGGAATTACAGGCATGAGCCACCATGTCTAGCCTAGAACATTTATGTTTTCTTACTAAACTTGTAAGAGAAGCAGTGTAGTATAGTGTGCTGAAGGTTAAGGGCATCGGAGCTAGATCTGAATTTGAATTTTAAATCTAGCATTTATCTGCTATGTGACTTCAGAATTTTCTCCTCATTTTATTTGTTTTTAAACATTAACACTTGGGTGTCAGACTTCTTATGACATATAGAAACTTATGTTGCTATTACAGTTATTAATAGACCTCACATGAATTGTATTTGTTTTTATAACCTGCAGGATGTAGTTCTAGTACCTTATGTTGTGTGCTCCAGATTTTGATTTTTTTAAAATTTATTTATTTATTTATTTTTTTTTTTTTGAGTAAAGAGAATTGTTCTGCCGGGCGCAGTGGCTCAAGCCTGTAATCCCAGCACTGTGGGAGGCCGAGGCGGGTGGATCACGAGGTCAAGAGATCGAGACCATCCTGGTCAACATAGTGAAACCCCATCTCTACTAAAAATACAAAAAATTAGCTGGGCATGGTGGCGCATGCCTGTAATCCCAGCTACTCAGGAGGCTGAGGCAGGAGAATTGCCTGAACCCAGGAGGCGGAGGTTGCAGTGAGCCGAGTGCACTCCAGCCTGGGTAACAAGAGCGAAACTCCGTCTCAAAAAAAAAAAAAAAGAATTGTTGACTGTAGACATGGTACTAGCAATTGGTTTGACAAAGAGGAACTCTAAAGTGAACTAACCTTAATTTACAAAGAAATGTATTGTCTGCCTAAAATTAGTGTTCGTTTGTTTGTACTCACAAAGGTCTGTCTCCCCACAGAGCTTGATGCATTAGATGCCAATGATGAGTTGACTCCTTTGGGACGAATCCTGGCTAAACTCCCCATTGAGCCTCGTTTTGGCAAAATGATGATAATGGGGTGTATTTTCTAGTAAGTGCTTTGTTTTATTCCTCTTTGTTAAGTGGTAGAATAATTTCAGAATCTTCTCCTTTTTGTAAAAGCAGCATTGGCTCAGTTAGAAGGAAAAAAAAGCCTAAATGTTCTTAAGGAAAATGACATACCTAGATACTGAGAGAAGTATAATATGAAAAGAATTCACAGTTCCAGTAGGTGGGTATCTGAGCCCAACTTGGAGGAAAGGGCAATCTTAGCACTTTGGGAGGCCAGGGTGGCAGGGTCACTTGAGTCCAAGAGTTTGATACCAGCCTGGGCAACGTGGTGGAACTCTGTCTCTACTAAAGAATTAGCCAGGCTTGGTGTGGTGTGCACCTTTAGTCTCAGCTACTTGGGAGTCTGAAGTGGGAAGATCACCTGAGCCCAGGAGGTTGAGGATGCAGTGATCATGCCACTGCACACCAGCATAGGCAACCAGAGTGAGACCCTGTCTTCTCAAGGTGGGGGGAAGCTGCACCTCCCAAGTTAATTTATTAATAGTTGTCCCTTGAAAGAGCAGCGTCAGGAAAATAATTTTATTTTATCAGACAATGTTGAAGATTAAGAGGTTTGGTATGATGGGAAAGAGAGAATATAAAAAGAAAAATATACTTGGTCATAAATTATGGTAAATATGTGGCCATTAGAGCATCCGAGCACCTTTTTTCTTTCCGACTCTGAGGAGAGCAGCTGTTAAGTTCTACGTCAAGCCAGTTTCATTGCAAATGAGGGAATCATGGACATAAATACTGCAACCCACAGTCAACAGTACTACCTGAGCTGCTGGCAGCAAGATTGTGATCTAGTCTGAATTTAACTGTCTTTGTGTATTTCAGCGTGGGAGATGCTATCTGTACCATTGCTGCTGCTACCTGCTTCCCGGAGCCTTTTATCAATGAAGGAAAGCGGCTGGGCTATATCCATCGCAATTTTGCTGGAAACAGATTTTCTGATCATGTAGCCCTTTTATCAGTATTCCAAGCCTGGGATGATGCTAGAATGGGTGGAGAAGAAGCAGAGATACGTTTTTGTGAACACAAAAGACTTAATATGGCTACATTAAGAATGACTTGGGAAGCCAAAGTTCAGCTCAAAGAGATTTTGATTAATTCTGGGTTTCCAGAAGGTAAGACTTCTCCCATTCTTAAGATATATTTAAAGTGATATTTATATAGTACATGCAAATTGGCATCAAAGTATATTTTAACTTCAAATTTTAGACCCTATAATTTTTATATAATCCCAGCTATTTCTTAGTTCTCATGAACACTGGTTGAGCTCACAGAATGAGTACTTTGCTAAATAACCTCATAGTGGTTTGAGAAGTGATTTATTAGCATGTAGACTTGAAGTAAATTCTACCACATTAAATTATAAATGGCTTTACTTTATATTTTTGGTGTACAGATGATTAGAGGACCTTATGACATCTAATACAGAAAAAAAAAAAACAAGCCTTGGCAAGGCACAATTGCTCACGCCTGAAATCCCAAAACTTTGGGATGCCAAAATGGGTGGATCACCTGAGATCAGGAGTTCAAGAGCAGCCTGACCGACATGGAGAAACTTCGTTTCTACTAAAAATACAAAATTAGCTGGGCATGGTGGTGCATGCCTGTAATCCCAGCTACTCTGGAGGCTGAGGCAGGAGAATCACTGCAACCCTGGAGGCAGAGGTTGCAGTGAGCTGAAATCGCGTCATTGCACTCCAGTCTGGGCAGCAAGAGCAAAACTCAGTCTCAAAAAAAGAAAAAGACAACTCTTGTTTCTTGATATAAAAATGAGCTGTAGTACTTCTCTTTTTCTAGCTAGGTTAAAATCCAGTTATTTCCTAAAATGTTGAGAACTGGGATGCATAACCAGATATAGACCTGTTGAGAGACAGAAGGTAGTTGGGCTAGATGGTAAATTTTTTTTTTTTTTTTTTTTTTTTTTGAGACGGAATTTCACTCTTATTACCCAGGCTGGAGTGCAATTGACAGATCTCGGCTCACCGCAACCTCCACCTCCTGGGTTCAAGCAATTCTCCTGCCTCAGCCTCCCAGGTAGCTGGGACTACAGGCGTGTGCCACCATGCCCAGCTAATTTTTGTATTTTTAATAGACACGGGGTTTCACTGTGTTGACCAGGATGGTCTCGATCTCTTGACCTCGTGATCCACCTGCCTCCGCCTCCCAAAGTGCTGGGATTATAGGCATGAGCCACTGCACCCAGCAAGATGGTAAATTTTTAAACGCTGTGAATAACTAAAAGTAGTGAGTGATTATCTTCCGTCATAAGACAGCTGAAATTTTATTTGTTCCTCAAAATTATAGGAAAGAGAAAGCTTTTATGTGCAAGAATCTTTAGAATCTTGAGATGCATTTAATAATGAAACGGACACCAGTGTATAAATTATTTGTTTAAATTCATCCAATTAGGAGGTTACAAGACAGGAAGTCATTTGTCTAGAACAAAATATGCCTGTGCTTTCACCGGTTGACTGTCAATACTTTCTAGTCAGCAACTAAGTACTCAAAATGTAAACTGAGTAAAATCATCAGCCATCATTCCAGTGGGTGTCCTCTTAGATTGTCACTCCATCTTCTCCACAACTAACAGTTATTTAAGAATAGCAGATAAATACTTTGACTGTGGTCCTGTCAGTCAAGCTCTTACAAGAGTAGATGATTGATTGGGGGACTTATAAAAGTAATCACCCTAAGCTTATTTATGGGTGAGTCTGTAAGAGAATAGATGTTTTAGTTTTCTTCCTGTTGAGACTCGGCAACATTTCTCCTTGAACTTAATCTGGGTGTTAGGATTCTGAGAAGAGAGAAAGTTTCACAGTCAAGTTATATGAAAACAGTGAGAGAAAGAGTCAGTTCTCTGAATTTTCTTGAATAATTTGGATGTAGTGTGAAGATCAGCCAGTTATCTGAATTTTTTTTTTCATTCTATTCCTCTTAACAGATTGTTTACTGACACAAGTGTTTACCAACACTGGACCAGATAATAATTTGGATGTTGTTATCTCCCTCCTGGCCTTTGGTGTGTACCCCAATGTTTGCTATCATAAGGAAAAGAGAAAGATTCTCACCACTGAAGGGCGTAATGCACTCATCCACAAATCATCGGTTAATTGTCCTTTCAGTAGCCAAGACATGAAGTACCCATCTCCCTTCTTTGTGTTTGGTGAAAAGGTAAGAAAAGACTAGAAAAGTTTACATTGAAAATTGAAATTGTCTTTAAAATCAACAGGAACATGAATTTTGATTTTCAAAGCACAGTATATGGTGATATTTGGAAGTTGGAAATGTCAACCATATCTTGTCTTTATTTGCAGATTCGAACTCGAGCGATCTCTGCTAAAGGCATGACTTTAGTCACTCCCTTGCAGTTGCTTCTGTTTGCCTCCAAGAAAGTCCAATCCGATGGGCAGATCGTGCTTGTAGATGACTGGTATGGAATTTAGCTGCTAATCTAACTTAATTAAGTTCTTAAATTGATAGCAGTAGAAGCGAATGCATCAGGAATTTGAGCCATGTCTACCACCATGCACACCAACACTATGGAATCAGTCTAAGTAAAGCTTCGGTACCCTTTTCACATACTTTATACAGTATATTGATTCAAAATTAGTGGTAAGCGCTGGGCAAAAATGGAGTAGAATTTAACCGGCAGCCAGTAGGCTCAACTATATTCTTGAAAATCTAGAAAATGCCAGCATTCTGGGTCTCTTAATTCATTTCTTTTAAAGTGAGAATGATCTGACCATGTGCGATGGCTCACACCAGTAATCCCAACACTTTGGGAGGCCAAGACAGCAGATCACTTGAGCTCAGGAAGTTCAAGATCAGCCTGAGCAATATGGTGAAACCCTGGCTCTACCAAAAATATAACAATAGTCAGGTGTGGTGGTGCACGCCTGTAGTCCCAGCTACTCCAGAGGCTGACTCGGGAGAATCACTTGAACCTGGGAGGTGGAGGTTGCAGTGAGCCAAGATAACACCACTGCACTCCAGCCTGGGCAACAGAGTAAGACTCTGACAAAAAAACAAAACAAAAAAAAAACACAGCCAGGTACAGTGGCTCATGCCTGTAATCTCATCACTTTGGGAGGCCGAGGTGGGTGGATCACGAGCTCAGGAGTTTGAAACCAGCCTGTCCAACAGAATGAAACCCCATCTCTACCAAATATATTAAAAAAAATTAGCCGAGTGTGGCAGCATGGCACCTGTAATCCCAGCTACTCAGGAAGCTGAGACAGGAGAATCATTTGAACTGGGAGGTGGAGGTTGCAGTAAATGGAGATCACATCACTGCACTCCAGCCTGGGCGACAGTGTGAGACTGTCTCAAAAATGAATAAATAAAGTCTGAAAGATCCATGTTGCCAGGCTTTGTTTTTTATATATACTGCATATATTACATATATATTATCGTATTTTATTTGGCTTGATAGACTTTATGGCTTAAGACCCCTGCTTAATAGTTGGCAGTGAATTTTAAGAGACTAGTGCTGATTATTACTGTTCATATCTGTGTTTTCCCAAGTTTGGGGCCATTATAAGTAGTTTTTTAAAGGAATGTTTTTTGCTATTTTAGGATTAAATTACAAATATCTCATGAAGCTGCTGCCTGCATTACTGGTCTCCGGGCAGCCATGGAGGCCCTGGTTGTTGAAGTAACCAAACAACCTGCTATCATCAGCCAGTTGGACCCCATAAATGAACGTATGCTGAACATGATCCGTCAAATCTCTAGACCTTCAGCTGCTGGTATCAACCTTATGATTGGCAGTACACGGTGAGTACCATACTAACTTATCTTTGGCCTAAATAAAAGAGAGACATCTTATGTAGGCTTAGAATCCTAGAGTTAGTGATAGAAGTCTTATTACTTAAGTTAAAATTCTAGACAAACGCCATATATAGGGAGTTTAGTTCTGGCTAACATGCTTAGAATATTATTTACTTTTATCAGTCCCTTGTTAGTAATTGGTCCATTGCATCAGTGAGTGCATGTTGGTAGTGCTAGAAAAGGATCTTACAAGTACATATATAGTCCAGAGTGGGTGACATGACAGGGAAGTGACACAGCCCACATAGTCCTCTTTCTATGGTACAGTTTTGGCATCACTAAAGAAAAAATATTTATGAGATGTTAAATTGCTTTCATCAAATGTGTATGTGTTTCTATTTAAACAACTAGAGCATGGATATTTAAGAAATGTATCTTAATTCTTAAAATTTGTATTTGCTTTAGGTTTTTTAGATGTTTTTTGCCCACGAGTTTTTTTTTACAAATACTTAATACCTACCAAAAAGGCAGAAGAGTGATACAATGTATAGTCATATAGTCTTTATTTAGGTTCACTAATTTTCAGTGTTTTGTACATTTGGTTAATCATTTGTGCTGAAGTAACAGGCATTATCACATTTTACATCAATACACTTCATATCTTTTAAGACATGGCCACAATACCACAGTCACAACCCAAAACGTTAAGTGTTTTAGTAATGCTATAATATACTAATGTATTAAAATTCTTCAGGTTATCCAAAAATGTTCTCTAATTCCTCATCAAAAATGATTTATTGGATTTGATCTATCTATGAAATAGGGAGATTGTTATCCTCATCCTCTTTAAGGAAACTGCGCACGGATGAGTTAAGACCCAAGATCATATAGCTAGTAACTGATAAAACCAGATTCAAACCCAGATAACATTGCTCCTGAAACAGTGCTCTTATGCTATCCTGTGGCCTTCTTGGTGATTAAATGTATAAATCAATAAGCGTCATAGGCAGATGCAAATGAAGTACTCATGGGTGTTTAGAAGAGAGATTATTGGCCAGGTGTGGTGGCTCATGCCTGTAATCCCAGCACTTTGGGAGGCTTAGGTGGGTGGATCATGAAGTCGGGAGTTTGAGACCAGCCTGACCAACATGGTGAAACCCCATCTCTGCTAAAAATGGAAACATCAGCCAGGCATGGTGGTGCGTGCCTGTAATCCCAGCTACTCGGTAAGAGGCTGAGGCAGGAGAATTGCTTGAATCTGGAAGGCGGAGGTTTCGGTGAGCTGAGATTGAGCGGCTGCACTCCAACCTGGGCAACAGAATGACTCTAAAAAAAGAAAAAAAGAAGATATTATTTTTGGTAGGACAGCTGGTAAGCAAGGAGCCTTTGTACATAATCTGTTTCTATGAAGGATAAAAGTCCAGAAACTAGGAAGAATGGGGTATATGTAGAGAGTTTGGGATGTATAAATGTGATGGTGGCCTGAATTACAGTGGTAGATAGAATTGCAGCGGGGAGATGTGACTGGATTAGACAGATTTGTGGTAGAATCAATAGGAATTGGTGATGGACTAAAATGGAATAGTGCAACGAAAGAAGGAAGACAGAAACCAGCCATATTTCTTTATTGAGAGGCAGTCTTGCTCTGTGGCCCAGGCTGGAGTGCAGTCGCGTCATCTTGGTTCACTGCAACCTCTGCCTCCCAGGTTGAAACAATCCTGCCTCAGCCCCCTGGGTAGTTGGGATTACAGGTGCACACTACCACACTCGGCTAATTTTTGTATTTTTAGTAGAGACAGGGTTTCACCATGTTGCCCACGCTATTCTTGAACTCCTAGCCTCAGGTGATCCACCCACCTTGGCCTGCCAAAGTGCTGGGATTACAGACATGAACCTGGCCACACAGCCATATTTCTCACTTAACTGCTGAATTGGTAGTGTTGGTCTTGAAGAAAAGCTGCACAGGAGTAATAAGCAGGTTGGGAATTTAATTGGAGTTGTTGATGGTCCATCTTGATTGCTGCTATTTTTCATTAGCCTTCATTTTCCTTATTTGTCACAGGAAACAAATAATTACCAAGGACATTTTTCAAAATCATACTTGAGAATTAATGCAGGGAAACGTTTGGTGATAAAGATCAAGCAGTTTATCGGCAGCTGCAGGAACCCTCTCCTAATGCTTGCCTTCTTGGAACATTATATTGTTTAGCTGAGTAAAAGAGGACTATCCTAAACTTGAAATGACATACTGCCAAAATTCAAAACCCTTTGAAATTGAACCAGAAAGAAAAGTAGAGAAACAGATCAATAGAATTGATGATTATTTTAGAATAGCAGATCAATCTTATTTCAGTTTCTGTTTGTGCATTTGGCTTAATTCCTTTTATGTATTAAAATTTCAAATACGACATTTGGTGCGTGGTTGAGAAATTACACTTTGCTAAAGTGATGGTTTCGTGCTTTTTCTAGGTATGGAGATGGTCCACGTCCTCCCAAGATGGCCCGCTATGACAATGGAAGCGGATATAGAAGGGGAGGTTCTAGTTATGGTGGTGGAGGCTATGGCAGTGGCTATAACAGTGGAGGCTATGGTACCGGAGGCTATGGTGGCAGCGCCAACTCCTTTCGGGCAGGATATGGTGCCGGTGTTGGTGGAGGCTTTAGAGGAGTTTCCCGAGGTGGCTATAGAGGCAACTCTGGAGGAGATTACAGAGGGCCTATTGGAGGCTTCAGGGGATCTGGAGGATTCCAGCGAGGAGGTCCTAGGGGGGCCTATGGAACCGGCTACTTTGGACCGGGAAGAGGAGGTGGTGGCTATTAAGGCTTGGTTATGTCCGTTCCTGTGTGTAGACAGTAAGAAAAAAAAAGGCATGCTATGTGTTACGTGTTTTTTCCTATGTTTATTTGCCACCAAAAAGTAAATGCATTTTTCCACCCATTCTGTGGTTCATTGTAGTTTAAGGAAACCAAACATATAGATGCATTAGTGATTTTGTTTATATTATGTAAAATATAACGATCTATCTTAAAAATACCACAGTTTGTATTTTTTCTTTAAGGAGTAAAGATTTGCCTTTAAAAATAACTTGGTATTTTCCTGGCTTTCGTTTAATACAATAGAAAATAAAGTAATACACCGAATACTTGCTGTGTAGTTTGTTTGTTGACCTTACATATTAGAATAATTTTACAATGCCAGTTACATCTGTTCATTTTAAATGTCAGAGAAGTTGTACCCTGTTTCAAAAGTCTACTAAGTGATACTACTGTACTTGTAATAGAATAAATAACCTTGGAATTGAATTGTTACCTTTTGAAGTAAATACTGGAAAGTACACAAACCACATAAACCTGTGCTCCTGAATAAAACTTTTGACCTAGGGCTGAACACTTCTGGCTTCCTCCCACGGCCAGCATTTTCTTTTCTAAGTCAGTTTCTACTATGACAAAGGTAATATAATCGACCCATAATTATATAATTAATATAATCCATTAATTAACTCTTGAATTTAAAGGTAAATGAAGCTTCACTGATGTACACATTTTAGAGTTTGGGAGCAGGTGACATGTTTTATCTACCTTATGTTGCAAAAGGTGTGTGTTAAGCTACTTTGTTTTAATAGAGATGCTTATGTATTTTACAGTTTCCAGTGAATTTTCAGATTTCTCATTTGTGCAAGATACAGTGGAGAGGGCAAAGGTACTGGATTAGACAGAATTGAGTTTGTGTGTGAATTCTGCTATCCGCCATGTGGGTGATCTTGGACAAGTTACATTTTTGTGTTGGTTTCCTTTTCAAAGTCCTTTATCCTACATACATGTTTTAGATCTTCCGCAATTATTGTTAGGCTGATGGCACCTATCTATCAAAGACTCACAAGTCTCTCCAACTGAGATTTCCTTTCTGAGCCATGTAAACAACCGTGTACTAAATATGCATCTTTGGTTTTAAATATCTCACAGAAGAAAATCTCTGCTTTCCAAACTGAACTACCCCTCTCAATCTACCCTATGTCCTGTACTGTGTTCTCTGTTCTATCTTATCACAGGAGTTTCACTGCTTAATTGCTTAAGCCATGTATGTTTACCACCTCTAGTCAGCTCAAGTTTTTTTCTTTTTTTTCTTTTTTTCTTGAGACAGACTCTCGCTCTCTTGCCCAGGCTGGAGTGCAGTGGTGCAGTCTTGGGTCATTGCAGCCTCCATCTCCTGGGTTCAAGTAATTCGCCTGCCTCAGCCTCCCAAGTAGCTGGGATTACAGGGGCCTGCCACCACATCCAGCTAATTTTTTTTTTTTTTTTTTTTTTTTGTATTTTCAGTAGAGATGGGGTTTCACTATATGGGCTACGCTGTTCCTGAACTCTTGACCTTGTGATGTGCCTGCCTCAGGCTTCCAAAGTGCTGGGATCACAGGCGTCAGCCACCACAGCCAGGCAAAACATCTTTCAATATACTTGTATAGACTGGTTGTCTCTTTTTTAATCAGGTTTAGTTTGTACATACAGTGCCATAGCAACCTCTTAACTGATCCTGCCTACAGGCCTGCCTCAATCTGATCTCCATACTACAGCTACAGTAAACATTCCCAAACAAATCTAGTATCACACCCTCTCTCCTGACTTAAACCAATGGTTCTCACTGCCTTCAGGATTGAGCCAAACTCCCTTCTTAGCCCCTCACGCCAGCCCTCATTTCTGCTGTACAGGCTATAGCTACCCATATTGAACCCATAAATGGATTATGCTTCCTCTTTTGCATGTTGTGAAAACTATAAAAGGTATAAAATCACTAATAGTTCACTTGGATGGTACTCATCCCTCCAACAAATTTAATTAGAAATGAGAAGTTGAAAAGTGGCCAGAAGTTGTCAAGGTGCATTCTCTATAAAGGTCGAAAGAAGCATTAAGGCATAGCTATAATCTTTTCATACTCAGCTAAAGGCTCAAGGAGCTCCATATGTGGCTCTCTCCTGTATTATGCCCCACACATTCTAGCTGTCCTCCCCAAACTCCAGTTTGTCTCTTAACTGAAGTGCTCTGCTTGGTATTTTGTCCCTCTATCGTGCTTCCACAGTCATGGATTTGTCTCACTTTTTTACTTATTGGGGTATCACCGTTCTTCATTGCCCAATGTCTGAAAGCAGTTGTTTCACTATTTGCTTACATGGGAGGAAAAGTGAAGTGCCGTTTACACTTGTCTTAGCTAGTGGGAATCCACTTCAGCTGTCCATTATAAGGTCCAAAAGTCATAGCAGGTTACATAGTGTTTTGTGGCATAAACCTTAAGACAAACCACTGTTGCATTTCCTTTTTGGGACAGGGTCACCTAGGCTGGAGTGCAGGGCACAATCTCAGGTCACTTGCAACCTCTACCCTCAGGCTCAAGCGATCTTCCCACCTCAGCCTCCTGAGCAGTGGGGGGGTAGCTGGGACCACAGGCACCTGCCACCACCATACCCAACTGATTTTTGTATTTTTTGTAGAAATGGGGTTTCACCACGTTACCCAGGCTGGTCTCAAACATCTGAGCTCAGGCCGTCCACCCACTTTGGCTTCCCAAAGTGCTAGGATTAGAGGCATTGGCCACCACACCCAGCCTTCATTTACTTTATTAGCCATCCCTACATTCTGCTTAGAACAATGACAATAATTAGTTTAAAGGGTGTCACAGTAGGTGTGCAATGACTGAAAGGTCTTCCAAAATGAGCTTGAATACACACCACACCGTTCCCATTCAGGAAATGAAGGAGCTGGAAGTATGGAGAGAATTTGAGGAAAAAATATGCGGAAAGGATTTTGCTTACCACCCCTTCTCTCACAACGCATACCAACTGGGGTTTGGGGTGATAGAGTTGGCAGTGACAATTGAGTCTAGTTGTAGTCTGACAATTCTAGTTCAGACAGGGCAGAGAGTGGCCTGATTTGTGCCTGGTAGGTCTGTGGTTGGCAGCTTGAAAGTTAAGTGGAAGAAAAAGCTGATGTGCCAGTTTCAGGAAGCCATGTATGGTGTGCTCAAGCAAGCAGCTACAATTTGATGGGATCTTCCATGCTGTGAAGCTACACTCGACTCTCTGAAAATCACCTATGCCACAGGAACAGATCAGAATATGAATCATTGTGCCAACTTAGGTTTCAGCCCAGACAGCAGGAAAGAAGACAACAACTTTAGCCAAGCATGTATTTGAATACTAATTTCCCTCCCTCTGAATCTGGAAGCAGAATTGGGACAAGAGTATAGCAAAGAAAACCAAAAACGGAGTTTCTAATTCGATTGGAACTGACAGAATTTTGGTTTTGACTGGGAATAAAGGTTCCTGAATTCTACTGTATTTACCAGAAAGATTGAGAATTGAATTACTGTCTAGCAGAGAAAAAGGGAAGTTTTTTAAAGTTGTATTTGTGTAACTTTCATATTTCTAGACTGTCCTATTACATGTAGTATTAAAAAACTGGACCATGTGGGAAAAACTTAATACTGAATCTCAAAGAGCTTACCTGAATTTCTGAGACTATTTTAGTGATAATTTAGTTTTTGAAAAGATGTTGAGGAGAGGTGGAGCAAGACAGCTGAATAGAAGCCTCCAGTGATCATCTCCCCTGCAAGAACACCAAACTGAACAACTATCCACACAAAACATCTTTGTGAGAACCAAAAATCGGGTGAGCGACAGTACCTGAAAAGAGTATATTGAGGAAAGAGGCACTCAAGAAGGTAGGAAAGACAGTCCTGCCTGACTTCCCTACACCACCCCTTCCCTATACCCTAGTAGCAGCCACGTGGTGCACACAGAATCTGTGTGCTTGGCAGTGGGGGAACAGACTGTGGGACTTTGCACTGGAACTCAGTGCTACTCTATCACAGTGCAATGCAAAGCAGAATTTAGTCCATGCCCATGGAGGAAGCATTTATACCTAGCCAGAGATGATCTGTCCTTCCCATTGGTTGGAACCTGACTTCTGGCAAGCCCTGCCACTGCAGGCTAAAGTGCTTTGGGGTCCTAAATGAAAGGCAGTCTAGGCCACAAGGACTGCAATTTCTGGACAAGTCCTGGTGGTGTGCTGGGCTCTGAGCCTGTTCACTTCAGGTGCACACGACCTAGTAAGACACCAGCTGGGGCAGCCAATGGAGTGTTTACGTCACCCCTCCCCCAAAACCAGAAAGCACAACTCACAGCTTCTAGAAGGACTCCTTACTTCAGCTGAAGAATGGCTAAACATATGTAAATCAACCAATGTGATACATCATATCAACAGAATGCAGGACAAAAATCATGATCATTTCGGTTGATGCTGAAAAAGCTTATGTTAAAATTCAACCATTCCTTCATGATGTAAATAAAACCCTCAAAAAACTGGGTATAGAAGGACATACCTCAATACAATAAAATTCATATACGACAGACCCACAGCTGGTATCATACTGAATGGGAAACGACTTCCCTCAAGATCTGGAACAAGACAAGGATGCCACTTTCAACACTGTTATTCAACATAGTACTGGAAGTCCTAGCTACTAGAGCAATCAGACAAGAGAAAGAAATAAAGGGCATCCAAATTGCAAAGAAAAAGTCAAATTATCCTTGTTTGCAGATCATATGATCTTATATTTGGAAAAACCTCAAGACTCCAGCAAAAAACTATAATAAATTTGGTAAAGTTGCAGGATACAAACCAACATACAAAAATCAACAGCATTTCTATGCCAACAACAAATAATCTGAAAAAGAAATCAAGAAAGTAAGTCAATTTACAATAGCTACAAATGAAACATCTAAGAATAAACTTCACCAAAGACATGGACAATCTTTACAATAAAAACTATAACACTGCTGCAAGAAATTGAAGAGATCACCAAAAAATGGAAAAATATTCCTGTTCATTAATTGGAAGAATCAAGATTGTTAAAACGTCCATACACCCAAAGCAATCTACAGATTCAGTACATTCCCTATAAAAATACCAATGACATTCTTCACAGAAATAGCAAAAATAATCCTAAAATTTAAATGGAACCAGGAAAGACCTAGAATAGCCAAAACTATCTTGAGCATAAAGAACAAAACTGGAGAAATCACATTACCTCTGACTTCAAATTATACTGCAGATAGGAACCAAAAGAGCATGGTACTGTTAGCAGCAGAACA